TTCTGTAAAAAATATTTTATGCTTTTTTACATTTGAGATGTTCTAATCTAATCAATACACATGAAGAAAATGACACTTTTTTTTAAACAATCCCATACTGCCTTATGCTTTCTGCCTTTGTTATCATATTTCCATTGTAAAACAATGGTGTTTTCTTAAATGTATAAATCATTCAAGATTCGCTTTAATGAAGTAATTCCCAAGTGCCCTTCAAAGTCTTAAATCTTATAAATGTTACAGTGATTGATATTGTGTACCACATTTTTTCTGCAGAGGATATTGGTGGTGTTAACATAGATCCCAGCTGTGAGAGAGAATGAATGAGGTCTGCTGAAGGTCAGACGTGTCCTCTTACTGCAATAAGCTCGACTGGATTTTCCCTGATGGTCCCAGTGAGAATAGTGATACAGGCTCATGTTTATGGTGGCGTCTGCTGGCTTTTGCTACTATGCCTGGTTTTGAGATCCATCTTTCATTGATAATGCATGACTAAATCCTATTAAGGTTTTTTTTTTATGCATTGTGAATGTACACAAACATAGACCAAAACTATGGAAGCCCATTCTGTTGCATACAAACATGATATCATGACATAAAAAGCAGACATTGACAAACGTAATCATAATTCTGGCAAAAAGTTCAAATTTGACATATTGAGTTTCAATTATGTCAGTCAAAATCAAATTTTTGACTCATAATTACGACCCGCTATCTCAGAATTTTGACTTTTTTGATAAAACGATGTCGATAATCATAAAGCTGACATTAACAAATTATAATTTACCAAATAATTATTTTTATTTACTTCTTTACAGAAATGGGCTTTCATAGTTTTCCTTCTATATTGACATTCACAATGTATGGCATATGGATGCATATCTCTTACGATTGGATTTAGTAAATAATTTTGACTTTAATTTAGTTAATAGGCTTGTTTTTATCTCATAATTATGGGCCTAATTATGACTGTATAGCAATTTGGACCTTTTCTCTCATAATTATGACATAGTATGTCAACTTCAAAATTTTAATCGAAATAATTTAATTAAAAATATGATATTGGTCGTCATTTTACACTTATAATTCATTGGCTGAAATCTGCTTTTGGGTTTTGTAAAACATGTATAGCCACCTTAGTTGACTCCATAAGACATCTATTCTAAACCATTTTAGTGCAGTTCATTAAGGACTTTTTAAAGTAAACACTGGGGTTTTGCATGTAGCTTTATCTGAATCAGTTTAGCAATGTTATTTTTTTTTACAATGAGAGTTTGACGTCTCATTGAAGGTATGGTCTTCGTATTATCATCACAGCGAATTAAAGCCAGGTTGCAATTAATAAAATGTCGGGGGTTCCTGATGTACTGCAGCGATTTTGGCCAAGAGAGGGCACTGTTTCACTTTAACAAGAAGGTGAGACGTCAAGGACGTGAAATTCATTCTAGCGTAGGAGTACGTTTGTGTAAATGATGCATGCTAAAATAAGTTCCATTCATACTTTTTAAGATTGAATCTCTCATATGGGAAATATAGACTGTATTTTACAGGTGCAGGTTTAAGTGTGGTCTCTGAATGAGTCTCCTTTGGTACAAATGCTGGCACTGGCACAGCACAGCAGGCAGAGTGATATTAGTCACAATGTGTGGCTGTCAGCGCCTGTAATGGGAACATCCCCAGTGCTGCCACAGGGCTCCACGTTTTGTGGCCACTGTCAACACATTGATGTTTCTCATGAGTGTTCGGTGCACCCAGCCAAAGGAGCTGCAGTCATCAGACCATATGAATCATGTCATGTTACATGATGTGAATCAGCTCCTGCTGAGTATTAATTCCTTACAGAGCGTGTAGTGAGGTTAACTGTAAATGTTTGGAAATAAGGGGAGTCAGAAAAATAAAGTTTCTCATTCTAACTCATTCTCTGTAATCTAGTTAAGCATTAGTATGGATATTGTTTTTATATAGATTCAGATCATACAAGGATTTTTGTTACTTTCACACTCCTACATTTGATTAAAAGTAATTATACACAACAAAGACGGTGAGCAGACAAATCCTTCATGCAAAATGTTGGAAGATGATGATCTTGGAAATTGACCAATTTTTGCGGATGACGTTTTGTTTACGCTTAAAGGGGGGTGGGGAAGATGGGGGGTTGACTGCTTTTTTTCTTTGCATGATTGTGTTTATGGGGTGCAATATAACATGTATTCGTGTTTTTTATTTTTTTTAAAGTCTTATTTTTCATAAATTTCACCTTTATTGTAAGCCGCGCTCTCTGTCTCCTGAACGAGCTGTTGACTTCCTACAGGCAGTGGGCTCAGAGTGGTTAGTTTGGGCCGGTGTGTTGTGATTGGCTAAACTGTCGCTCACGTTGTCCGGAAAGTTAACGCCCATTACCTTTATGGGCGAAACGTGCATGTCATGAGCTCCGGCCCAGGTGTAAATAATGGCGTTGAACTGCATTATCAGTTTGAGGCAGAATCAGAACGAGAAAGCCGCGATGAAAAGAGTCAAGCAGAACCTCACCACACACGGCTCTTAAATAATAATAATTTGCTACATTTTTTTTTAAACTTTATACACGTTTGTTTAACACAATAGCATCTGACTGGCAACAATAGCAACTGACTGGCTGCTAATGTACTCAAACAGCATTGGCATTTACGTTCTAAATAACGTCGAAAATAACAATAGAAAATAACGTCATAAAGCATATATACATGAAAAAGACATGTACAACATTAGTACTTATAAAAAATTCAGGTCCATAATGTTTGTACGCGTTTGTCGTAGACACAAGCATAACTGGTAGCCTAGTGGCTATAAAACCAGCGCTGGCATTTGAAAAAAATAAAGCACATGGCTACGTCTAGAATTATACATGCAAATACATTTAAAATGTTTAAGTCTTACTGTACGTTCACACCGCCACCGGCGAGAGCGTCAAAGTGGCCGGAAGTCATTCATTTTCATTGAGAGCGGCGAGGAGGAGAGTTGAAATCAGTTCAACTTTGACGCGGTTCGGCGGCAACCAATCGGAATGTAAAAGTGCTCCGTTTGAGAGAATCCCAGAGAACGCAGTGCTGTAAACTTTGGTTCCGGCCACATTAGTTCCCAAGCAAAACAGAGGAGGTTGATAATTTGAATTTGATAAGAGGGCACGCAACACTATTTATAGGCAAGATTTTCGTGCTAGAACACTTTTTCAACGGGAATGCAAATAACACTTAATCATGAACACAAAAGCAACACCACACACATGTGGCTTTTAATTTGTTTATTTCATGAGCAAACATGTTACTATAATTTTAAAGTTATTTCCAGCGATTCTGCAAAAATAACCGACATTTTTGTTTGCTTGTTTGCATACCGTTTTAAAAAAGATCACGCATTCGATCTACGTCAGAGCATCAGAGCGTCCACGAATCTTTCCACGGCGTCGTTGACAGAGCGGCAAGAGCGAATTTTGCCGCTCTCGCCGGCGGCGGTGTGAACGTACGGTTAGCCTACAGGTTGTGGCACAACAACTGCTGCCTCTGTACAACTGCAAGTTGGAACTGTTTCATTAGTAACAGTTTCAGTTTCTCGTTGAATTCGTGGAGATTCTTGAAGCTGTCTTCCGTAAAATGCGCAGCACAGAGAGCTAAATTACGATCGTCATTTTTTTAGGAACATAATCAAACATAAATTGTATCCATTGTTGACGAAGTACAGCATCTGTTGGAAGCCTGAACACAGAAGACCTGACAGCTGATGATTGGTGAACATAACACAATCGACAAGCCGCAGAAATATGCACATGCCCTTTTCTGCATATTCCGGAGGGAGGGGTTGATGCAAATGTGTGGGTTAGTGACGTCTAAAACCCAGCTGTAGTCCCAATCGAGTCGTTTTTGTAGGCAATATACTTCCTGATTTTTAAAAGATGATATCTCTGCTTACACTAAACTTTCAGCGCTGCAACTTTGCAGATCAAACCCCATCAACCCCCCCCCCTTCTCAGCAGTATTTGTAAAATTTGCACAAATTTAAATAATCTGTAGAATTAAAGTTCAAATTAGAATCAAAGAAGAGCAAAAAAGCTTGAATAAACTATAAACCTTAGGCTTTTGCACATTTCACTGCTAGTGAACAACTGTGATCGACTATAAAGCGTTCAAACAATTTTAGAACCAAATATTTATTCCTATCTTTTATACATTTACATAAATTGGGGATCATGTTGTTCTTATTCTTATATATCATAGGATAATAATACAAATGAAAAAAGGGTTCCAAACAATAAAACAACAATTAAAAACAACATCAACAATAAAATCCAACCCATTACCATATTATTTATAACATGAACTATCTTGCTGATAGGACTACTGTTAATGACCATGATCCACAAAGCAAAACATATTATATAAAATACCATGCTAAGTGTCCAGTACCAGTGGTGGACACCCTGTCATTTTATATTCAAGTGCCTACCAGGAACTCAAGGCAAAATAAATTAGAGGTTTGTACTGCCCCGCAGTCACAGCAAGTCAAATTTTCTTTTTAAAGATGTGATCAGTTAATATTATACAAATTAAAACAGGGCATAATGTATACCATATTCACTCCACTATCCTTAAACATGTAGTCCTACTGACACACTAACGTCATGCAAAATCTGAAATACAAATCCCTAAAGTCAACATTCAATGCTCTTAAGTGCATTAATTTTGCATGCGTAATAATCTCATGCATTGATGCAGTCCCTCTGTTTACAGTAAGAACACATACTCTTCAAAGTAAAGGTTCCAAAAAAGGGGTTTTTGAACAATTTTGGGTTCTTTTCAAAGAACAGTTCTTAAAAGAATTTCATGTTATTCTAAATGTGAAGAACAATTCTAAAGAACCTTTTTTAAATGATAAAGACCCAAGAATGGAAAGGATGATAAAGGTTCTTCATGGAACTATATATATATATATATATATATTCCAATAAAGCACCTTGATTTTTAAGAGTGTTCCTCAGACACATACTCCACATTTCATTCACTCCAAATCAACATCAAACTCATGTATCTGAAACTGTGGCAAACCAGTGGGTTCAGTAAATATCACAAATCTGAATGAGTAATTTTAGGGTAGCTGTGAAGGCCCTCCATTGTTCTCAATGTCTGTTCCCAGGGCGGGGTGGAGGTCGTGAAGGAGGGGGTCCGTGGGGGCCTGGGGGTGCCCGGGCTGGTGGAGGTCTTGGGGGTGAGCGGTTGATGGAGGGTCCCCGGGATGGTGGTCTTTTGGGCGGGGGCTGCATAAGTGGCCGATGGTCTGAAGGGGGCGGCTGAGGTGGAAGGTGGCTGCGTGGCGGTGACCTTGGCTCCTCTGCTTTCACCCTGGTAAAGTTGATGCATCGACCCTATGGAAACAAGACAGATGGTGGGATCACTGTCAGTTCAAAGCTGAGATTTCATCGCTATCAGAAGCTATAACTTCTGGGGATAAAACGAAACCCAAACTCTTTACATATTTGGACACATTGTATTTTTAACCCCTGAGGTGACAAGTTCAACACGAAACGCGTGGGATTCAAAAACAAAAGCTCAAGCGCTAGTGCAGCTGATCCTAGGCTGAGTTCTCTTGCTTGCTTTCTCTCAAAAATGCCCAGGAGATGAACCCACAGCACTTCAGACATTCAGAAACTCAGCTGTCAACTGCAATTCTGTCCCTAAAATCATGGGGGTGGGGTTGAAGAGTTGCAGCGCTGCGCTTAAGGAATAATAGCTATTTGTGAAAACGGTGTTGGAACAAGACACAGGTCTCTGAGAAAACGTACATTCTTAAAGATGAAGTGATTCATTGTTGATCATTCAGAGAGGGTTCAAACTTTGGGACTGACTGACCAAAGCCATTCAAAACCCACTTTACGCTTCATTAAGTGCATAAAATGAAACTCTGGATGACTCAGGATCCACTACAACAACCACTTTTGTTGGGGCTTAATAAAAGTGACGTATTCATATGCAAGTGCATGAATGGAGGCAAAGCTTTAAATCTTTTTCCTCTCAAACACAGTATACGTGGCTACACGTAATAAAACATTTCGGAATCAGAGTGATAACTTGAACTCTTAAAAGGTAGAAGTTTCTTATGCTCACCATGGATGCATTCATTTGATCAAACATAGGCCTACTGTAAAAACAGCAGTATTGAGAATACTATTTAAACTTTCCTTTCTTCTATTTAATATATTTTAAAATGTAATTTATTCCTGTGATGAACTTTCATCATCATTACTCCAGTCTTTCAGAAATTATAATGTGGTGGTTTGGTGCTCAAGAAACATTTATTGTTATTTTCAATGTTGAAAACAGCTACTTAATATTTTCAAGGAAACCATAATGTATTTTTTTCAGGGTTGTTTAATGAATGTTCAAAAGATCAGCATTTACCTGAAACAAGAACATCTTTTGTAACAATATAACTCTAAATTACTGTCATCAATTGAATGACTAGTGAACTTGCGAGTATTGTAGATAGTATTTATACTGAGAATGATAATAATTTACTTTAAGAAATAAATCAATCACGATATTCAATATGCTTATTAAAAGAATGAATGGTAAACAATCAAATATTAGCTAGAAAAGCATGCCAGCCATGGCTAATAAATAACAAACACCACAGCAATTGTCACTATCACCTTCAATTAAAAAAGCACAGTGTGAACTAATTTGTGTCCTGCTCTGATCTTGCTGAACTCGAATTACTTTCACTCGAGCGGAAAGGAGAGCGGTTAAGTCTCTGCCATGCTGTTTGAGCTCAGACAAACAGATGGACAGTTTAAAGGCCACTAGCTAAATTGTCACAGGAAAGATTCCCTCTCTTTTGTTCAGGGGTCTAAGAGGACTGAGTCAGGATACGCCTTTTTATTGTGTTATAGTAATAAGGGTGGCTGAGTATGCAGGAGTGAAACAGTAACAGTAAATATCAAACAGACGGACAGAGAGGGACTCCATGTAAGGGGATGTCTGTTTTCTATAATTGTTGTCTGAAAAAGTGTTGGGATGGTTTAAATACATGTCAGATTGGCAAGCAAAGCTGTCAGTTCATGTATCTTTCTCTTTAGCTGTTCAATCTTCACATACAGATTGAAAAAAACCCTTGATCCATTAATGAACCACCTTGCTCCACCTCTTTAACAACTTTCACTTGGTTAACCTCACCAAGTCCTGTCATTTTTAAGGCTATTCCCTCCAACCACCTGTCAAATATAGAGAGCACTTTCTGCAATGATCAGTTTTGGTTTGATTCTACTAAGGATTGTTTTGTTGGGTTTCCATGTTGACTTGACTTTCTATAGACCATTGTTTTATACTGTACAAAGTGTGTATTATATCCCCTAACCCTAAACCTCCCCATCAATTAACTTCTGGCATTTTTACATTTTCAAAAAACATAATTCTGTATCATTTAGAAGCTGTTTTCCTCATGGGAACCAAAAAAAGATCACAAATTACTGGTATTATCTTAATGTAAATACTAAAGAAAGACCCCTGATCTAAAGCTAGTAGAATCTTGTAGCCTGCTGGGGGTCATCCACAGTAGTTAAAACACCATATGGACAGATTTCTCTTCCCCACTCCCTCCACCCACATCTGCACAGTATTCATGAGTCTCTATTCTCATTGGGCCCATATGCTCACCCTTGTGCAGGCCTGTTGCTGTGCTGCTCGCCAAATTGTCCTTTTCGCTGCACAAGACCGCCGAAGTGATGGCTTTACCCCCCAGCCAGACAGACGTGAATCAATCACCACCACTCCCCTCCAACCTGACAATAGCCTATCACAATAATACTCAGCTCCCCCTTTGCCAAATGAGCCCCATGTCATGTTATAGGCCTCTCTGTTTAATAAGCTGTTAAATCAGACCACCAAGCATTGGTTACGTGAGGGTTAGAACCGCACATGAGAGGAGAATCCTCCAGAACAATCGGAGGTGCATGTCATTCAGCTTGACTCGTAAATTATGTTAAAAAGCCACTTCCTTCTGTTAACCAGAATCTTTCTTGACACAACTTCTGGGTCCTGTGGGTCATTAGGAAAAACAAAACAAAAACACTCTCTATTCCAGTTTCTTTGTCTCGATTGTAGGTGGCACTCAGACGTGAGGGGGCAGATACTGAGCATGTGAGGTGAAGCTTGTAAACTGGCCAGACAAAGACTTTCAACAACAACAGCTTCTTTCTTTACACAACAACTATAAGTGAGTAATAAAGCAAAGCTGTCACCTTTGCATCACAATGAGTGCACTGAAGCCAATGGGTAAAAAGTTTGACCTAGGACTCATCTATGTTCATGCATATCCATGTTAATGTATAAAGGGACAGTTCACCCAAAAATGAAAATTTTCACCATTTGTTCCAAACCTGTTTGAGTTTCTTTTTTTTTTTTTTGCTGAACACAAAAGAAGATATTTTGAAGAATATGGGTAACCAGACAGTTGACGACACCCATTGACTTCCATAGTATTTTTTTTTCCTACTATGGAAGTCAACAGGGCCTGTTTGGTTACTGACATTCTTCAAAATATCATCTTTAGTGTTCAGAAGAAATAAAATCACAAAGACCTCCTCCAAACATTATAAGAAAGTGTCACAATCTGTCATTTGTGTCAATCTGTCAATAGTGGCTAATCCATATTACCCAGTTTTACTGTAGTAACAGTAACTGTGGTATTTTATAGGTAACTGTGGATAAGTTGACCAATCGAAAAAGAACAATTCCATGTGCAATAGGTGTAAGAAACATGACCAATCGCAATCCAGAATGCAAATAAATGCCACGACATCATTGCTGTTACACTTTGAATGCACAAGCATCCTATCAGTGTAAATAAATGGCAGATTTTCAAAAGTAATCTTGTAAAATGTATATGAAGAGTTCAGATGCAAAAGCCTCTAAGTGCCATTGGAAATTTTCTTCTAAAATGGTCATTTTTATCAAGCTTATATATTCAAGTCCAGTAATTTCACTTTAATGACAATTAATAGGTAATCCTCATTGCAATTTAAGTGAAATTACTGAACTTAAATATACAAGCTTGATAAAAATGATCATTCTAGAAGAAAATTTCAAATGGCACTTAGAGGCTTTTGCATCTGAACTCTTCATATATATATATATAAAATATAAAATATAAAAGTAAAAAATATCAAAATTATCAGGCTAAAATATCCTCATAATATATAGTATGTTTGAAATATTTTAAATTTTAAATGCTGAATTAACTGCAAAAGTTCAATATGCTTGGGATTTTTAAATATGTGTTTTTAAGGGAGAAAAATGTGAACCTATTAAGAGCAAATCCCTAACCAATGTGTTTGACACATATCAATAGGGTGCTGCTTTACAAGCAGTATAATGATAGTCTGTTTAGTTGCAACCCATCTTTGAACTCCTCAAGACTAGAGCCAGACACATAAGAGGCCCTTTGCTAGGAATAGAAAACAGAAGAAAAGACAAAGAGGAGACAGAAGATCAGTCACAGCAAGGGAATGCACAGAGTTAAAACGAGAAAGATGTGGACTAATATAGAGATTAGGCCGCCTGTAGCTGAGCAGAGGTCTTGTTTGGGCACAGCAAGTGTTTGTCTGCTGTCTAGTGGGCTGCAGGTGGGCATGAAACACACAACTACACCCCAAATCTCCCTGAATGGCACAGCTGTTTCCATCCAAACCTCGCCCTTTACAAAGTCTGCAGCCTTTACCAGCACCATCTAAAGCTCATGCAAAGTACATTGAGCAGCTGGACACTGGCGGTTCCTCAGACAAGTGGCCCATTATGGAGTAGTGAAGAATAAACCTAAAGTAAATCAGATCGGTCCATCTACAGTGTGGGAACGGACCTATAGTCTGCCCATGTCAATGGGATCATACTGTACGGCCTGCGGTCCACATGAAAGATGTCTTTCACAGAAGCACAGATGTGTTGCCATGACACAGCTTGTGCTAATGGAATAATGCGGGGTGCAAAGAGCAGGCCTCAGACACTGAGGGACGTCTCTTACAAAAGGCACAAGAGAATGAGAGATTGTGCTCGGCCACACGACTGCTCCATGTGAGGAGTGTAATTACACTGCTATTTCCTGTCCCGGCTACTGAGCATGCTCGGGAGGGATGGGAGTTTTACAACAGCTCTGTTCCAAACACAAGTGAACTGCCTCACTTCATTCTATAGTAGCATTCACAGAACACACACATTGTGGATCACATATTCATTTTTTAATCATAATCTATGGAATCAATTATTATTATTTTAATCTAATCTCTGATGCTCACCAAGCCAGCATTTACTGTTCGTAAAAACAGCAACATTTCAAAATATTATTACAATTTATTATAACTATTTTCTATTGTTTTCAATTGTAATGTATTCCTGTGAAGGAAAAGTGTATTTTTATATTTCAGTAACCATTACCCCAGTCTTCAGTGTCACATCATCCTTCAGAAATCTATGCTGACTTGGTACTCAAGAAGAATTCTTCTTCTTATTATTGTTATTAATGTTGAAAACAGTTGTGCTTCTTAATATTTTTGTGGAAACCATGATACATTTTGAAGCATTCTTTGATAAATATTTTAAAATTTATTTGAAATAAGAATATTTTGTGATATTGTAAATGGCTTTACTGCCATTTTGATCGTTTTGATGCGTCCATAAGCGTTTGTGAATTCATAATCTATGTTTAAAGCTTGTTCCAATGCATTTTGAGATTGGCATCTCTGAAAAGCATGCAAATGATGTATTACAATTGGGCCAAAATTCAATATCTTAAGAGCCGGGGAGCAGCCCTCCCAATCAAGCTGCTGCCTATGGAGGAAGTTCACTAGGTTTTGGAACGGAAACAATGAAAGTGAATACTTGAGAAAAGCCATTAATTATTTCATAGAAAAGTTTTTCTAAAATCCATATAAAAAACATGCTCTGAGATAAAAACAACAACCCTGCAATAGCACTTTAAAACAAACCACATTTTACATAAACATTTTCATGCCACTGGAGGTGGATTCAGTCATACATGGTTGTACCTGATCTCCAGGCTGGGGTCTCATGAGTGACACCTGGTCATATCCTCGACGGAAAAGGGCAAGCAAAGCATCCAGTTTCCCCTATAACACATACAATTGTTCTATTAAAACCTTTTGACCTTAAAACATTTTAAAGATTAGACAGATGATTTCATGTTGAATTTTATGAAAAAAACTCCTGTACCTGAATTGGACTGTACCATTTTCTGTGATGGGCCGGTCTGCGCCCATCAGGCTTTCTGAGTTTGGGTTCATAGGGCTCGTATTCTTCTTCAGGCATTTTCACCACAGCGTTCTTTGGCTTCTCCAGTTTAGCTCCTTCCTCCGTGGAGCCCTTACCCCCCCAGCGCACCTAAAGACCAATGGAACACAGTCCACTTATGAACCACACAAACTACGGAAAAATGGCTGTTTCCACATGAAAACAATATTTGCAGCAGTGGAAAGGCTTGCATGTTTCAATGATCCTGAGAGCAAAAGACATTTACGCAAGCTTGCATTAACACTACTGTGTTTAAGAAGTGCACTTAGGTACTATAGCTGTAAAAAAGGTGTTTATTTTACAAAGAACAATAATGAATATGTCCAATATTGCTACCTTTGCAAATTACAGGGGTAAATCTACAGGAATCAGCATGTCTTATGATGTCACACGATGTAGTTTTGGCACCAGGCAGACAGGGAGCATTTAAGGTCACAGTGATGTGTTCTAGCGCCTTGAGGGTTCATAACATCACTCGTCACGTGTGGTCTTCATCCCCCTGTAGCCTGTGTTAACCTATGATCAAATGACACCCTATATAAAGCCATGTCGTGTACAGAAATATGCATCACCTCCATTCTTTTGATTCCCCCAACTCCTCTTCCGCCATAGTAGGATGCATCAACTGTAGGCCATTTCTTTTTGCCCATGCCATCTTCATCATCGGACTCCTGTTGGGCACACAAAACTTAAGTAAAACTAATAATAAATGAGCAAAATGACTATGATTCAAAGTCATGTAAACATTCCTTTTCTGTTTATTTAGTTGGAAATGTCATTAAAAGGGATAGTTCACCTACAAATGAAAATTCTTTCATCATTTACTCAGTAAACATGTGAATGATGACAGATTTTAAGTTTTTGGGTGAATTATCCCTTTAAAATCACAGATAGCAAACTCAACACATTAGCCTACACAGATAGAATAAACAAAGACACTGTCAAATAATGTTAGCTAAAAAAGTAGCAACCACATTGTGTCTCCAAATCAAAGAGAGCCTTAGAGACAGAGCTCCTTGTTTGCGCTTTCAGTGGTAAGAAGCACAGATGCACACACTAAAGCCATTTCCACAAAGCTCTTTTATTTCCTATCAGCCTCAGTGACTGCTTGCCTTTGACCTCTGGAAACAAAGCAAACACAAGAGGATCATTATGAGCCCTTTTCCCTGAATTTTGCCATTCAGTCATCCTGCGGTTGAGCCTTTGGTTCGCACTTTGTCCACTTACACTGCTCACTTGTCTTTATTTACACGGCTGTGCCATAGAAAATGCCCTTAAATGGTGACGGACGGCTTTCCAAAGCAGTTGCACTCATATTTAGCAGCTGATATTGGCAGTGTTAGGGAATGTGGTTTACAAGAAAGGATGGCATTTCTGGTGCGCACTGGATTCAGCTTATGAGAGTTAGTCGTTTTATCATGTGCAATCAATTTTTTCTTTTATTGTCCTGACTCCTGATTCATATCGACTCTAAATTTCCATGGTTCGTTTGAGTATATGCTGTGCCTAAATACAGACATACACAAACATGATCACAAAATGAGGTTAGAGGGAGTTAGACTCACAGGCTCAGGGGGAGGGGGTGGAGGCACTTCCTTGATGACCTGAAAGAAAAATAATTCTCAGCGAAAGAATGTAATCTAAGCAAAGATCAGTACAGTACAAACAGAAACAATACGAATAGTATATTATAAAGAATAAAAGCATTACATTGTACTAAGCATAATCATAGTCAATGTCACATGTTAAAATCATTGTTTTTAGTATGAATAACATAAAGCCTAATAATAATAATTACTATTATTCTACCAATATTGTCAAATCACAGTTTAGATGTGTTACATGTGATAGTACTAAAGCTGCTGTAAAGCAAAAACAATCTGTTACTTTAATTTCCTATTATCACTGTAATGCTGCTTTGAAACAATTTTGTTAAAAGCACTATATAAATGAAGGTGACATGAATAACAATAATATATACTGACAATGTTAATAAACACCTGATTATTATTAATAATAAGGATGAATTTACTCACCCTCAAGTAGTTCCAAACATGTATTAGTTTCTTTCTTCTGCTGAACACAAAAGAAGATATTTTGAAGAATGTTGGTAATCAGACGGTTGACCGTAGCCATTGACTTCCATAGTAAGAAAATAAATACTGGTAACATTCAAAATATCTTCTTTTGTGTTCAGCAGAAAAAAAAAGAAACTCGTTCAGGTTTGGAACAACTTGAGGGAGAGTAAATGATGACAACATTTTTAATTTTGTGTGAATAACAAATAAATGCATGATTTAAAAAACAATCATAAAAATTAAACTGCAAAAAAACTGCTTGAATACATTTTTTTTTGCTATGGCTGGAAACGTGTGATTGTGAGTCTTTAACATAATGTGATGTTTTGTGTTATCTTATGCAATGACATTCATACATTTAAAATGTTGTTTAATTGTCAAAACATTTTTTTTTACCACTGTAAAGACGTACCACTGTACAGCACAGAGGCCAGAACCACCACATCAGAACCAGACCCAACAACAGGAAAACAGCCAGTAATGAGATGAGCAGGATAGTCCCATCAAACTGCACTCGGAGAGAAACAAACATACATCTTCATGAGTATTTACTGGCCTAAAACCAATGAACAGGTAAAGAGAATGAAGAACAGGGCAAATGGCTGCTCCAAAAGATGGATTTTTTTTTTTTATTTTTTTTTTACTGCTGCTAATTTTAACTTACGTGACAAAACCAGACTCCTCTGATGAAAGAAAGCAGAGGAGACCTCATAAGAGAAAAAGAAAGGGTAATAGAGAAGGGGAAAAGAACCAAACAAGTTGTAGACAGCAAACAACAATGTCAAATAGTCTTTGAGAAGACATTCATGGAGGTTCTGACATTCATGTTTTTACAGGCAGAAGTGGTTTTGTCAAAGGAAGACAGATGTACTTACACATTCAGCAGTAGTGATGTGCACTGAGCTTGTGATGTAGGACAATCCCTCATTCATGCTAACCTGCAGATATATCACCCTGAAACACAACAAAAACACCTTAGTCACACCTGCTTAAATAGGCAGATTCATTGCATTCCTATGATGGACAAGTGTGAGCTTGTTATGTAGTTATTATTAAAGCCATTAAGATCAGCATTTTCTTGTTTAAATGTGTAATCTGGAGCCAGGAGTTCATGTATGTTTCACACAGCTGCCTGAATGACTTCCAATGCATTCCTCTTGATGGATAGCAACTAAACACTCAAAAACCAGCAGGCTGAAATCATGTAGGCACAGGAACTTGACTGATAAGTGCTATCTAAAGTAGATCAACTATGCATGATTGTATAAAATATCCCGGAATACGAACAACAAGCCAAAGGACCTGGAAAAACTGATTAGGCAGGCTTTAAAAGAGATCTTAATCATTTTCAAAGTCACAAATGGGAATCAAATTGAGACTTTTGCTAAATCTTCTGCTTCTCACGGTTTTCTTCCGATAAAAGGCCCCTAATAATGTCACGTGTTTGATCTTAAGTCTAAAGACTGCATTAGTTCCTCACTCTGTGTGTTGGTTGTTGTTTGTGTGTGCATGTTACATACACTGTTACGTTTCTGCCATCTTCGTGGGTTACCTAAGTTTGTTTTTATTAAAAGGACCCTTTTGTTTATAAAAACATTTTTGAGCTCTTCTCTATCCTCATCTTCATGGTGACAGAACAACAGACCAAATTGAATATGAAGAGTTCAGATGCAAAAGCCTCTAAGTGCCATTTGAAATTTTCTTCCAGAATGATGATTTTTATCAAGCTTGTATATTTAAAATCAGTGATTTCACTTAAATGGCAATGATAATTACCTATTAATTGTTATTTAAGTGAAATTACTGAACTTAAATGTACAAGTTTGATAAAAATCATCATTAAAGAAGAAATTTTCAAATGGCATTTAGAGGCTTTTGCATCTGAACTCTTCATATGCAGCACAATTTTCTGTTTTGGCTTGTGAGAGTCATGATTTTTAACCTTCACTGGACAATTCTGCCTTCTTACCGTCACCAGCCCCTTTGAGCTAATTCCCACAATTCCCATCACTCCGTAGAGCTCTCAGACACCTCTGAACTGAACTGGAGGGACGCTATCATCCGGTATCTGGAGAGTGTTTACCCCTGGTGCAGAACAGAGCTGGACCCAGAGTCCGTTCCACCACCATCACCACAGAGGAAACATGCGAGCTCCTTGCAAATGGAGAGCTGCCACGTGACATGTCAGCCTGTGCCCGAAGAAAAGCGGTCAGCGTGGACCCTCGTCCGGAATAGGAGCCACCCAGTGAGTCTGACCAGGGGTGTGAGCCCATGACATCAGTGGCCGAGGATATTTTGGTGGATTTTGTTTCTAGACTGCACAGACACCTGCATGGACAATGAATTTTTACCTTCGACCCTGTCTAGCTTCCGTCACTGCCCTGCTAAGCCAGTTCTCCAGCCCTCTGCTGGAGGTTCCCAGCCTTTCAACATCTCCTGCGATGCCAACCACTCACGTCAAGCTTCAGGTCCTACAACCACCATTAGCGCCTGAGTGGATAGATCCAGTGGCTCCGCCTCCGTCCTCAGATTGTCTCAGCCCATCGACCTGCCGGTTCCACCTTGGCTCCTCCCACCTTCGGCTCCACCAGACAACCTCGGCCTTATGGCTTCACCGGGTTCCCTCATCCCACCGGCTCCCCCTTGGTCAGTCATTGCCTCAGTCCTCCAACCTTGGGCTGTCGTCTCCATGATTCAATCAAGTTCATTCATTGCATAGAAAATTTTAAATAAATCATTGAAATATCATCAATTGTGTCTTTGCAAAATAAAAACATCTTTCTTTCTTTTTTTAAAGACCACAAACATTTTGAATGGAAGAGTAAATGTATTTTACATATAGAGAAATGTGGTATTGGATATGTGATAAGTCTTATTTTTCGATCTTCAGTAAAATCCTGTGATAAAAAAGAGTTGAAAAATAAGTATTTGTCATGAGACTGATGACAGTCCATGAAGACCTGTCTATGGACATTAAAACTGACAATGCCACGTCCAGTTCCCCCAGACAACTTTTTCAAAAATGGAATTTCTCCCAATATCAGAGATGTTTGGCTCTACCATGGGCATTCCCAGCCTTGATCTTCCAGTGGAAAAAGTCTCAGGTTTCTTGATTTAGGCGACCCCTCTTCCTCTGTATTGGTGGGAGAGTAGACAGAGCTGAATATAAGTTACTACAGGGGTATTGCCCCAACTCCTCTCTGTCGGTCCTACACACCCCTTCTAGTGCCACTCTGTTGGCAGGATGGGGGATGGGCTCAAAGTGGCACAACAGGATAAAAAGGGGGGTTGTGTGGAGGGAGGTCCAGTGACAGATCCATCTCATTTTCCATCAATCAGGAAGCGGCTGGCTCTTTTTGAGCACGTCTTCAGGAGGCCACTCAGTCACCATGCGTTTAGGTGACAGCACTGACAGCTTTGTCTCAAAAGATGTGGAGGGAGAGGGAAAGGAGAGGGTAGACTTTGCCCTAATTGCCTTTTGTCACCCCCCAAAAACTCAAATGGCCTTTTACAATGGAATCAGTTTATACAGACATTATTTGACTCAATGGTTGGTCTTATTACTGTTATTACTATTACTTATTACTCCCAACATCAAAGTTTGCATAACAGGATGGCAATAATTTTAATTCCAAGAGACTCTCCATTGGCTCTATATAGCCTTAATAAACCCACCCCTCCTTGTAACTGGATTATAATGGAATGAATCTCTGTTTTTCCCTTATAAGAATACATACCACATCTGGCTGACATTTGAGAGACCCAGACTCTACGAGATCTCTGAAACCAAATAATGGTATGCAGACATGTCATTATATCGCGAACATAATCTCAGGTATAACAATATTAATAATACAATATAAACATTAGATGAATAACTTAAAAATATATAAGTTTAGGTTGGAGAACTATAATTAGAAAATTAAAAAAATGAAAGTTAAAGGTGGAAAATATAAACATAATAAAAATTTAAAATAGCTAGAAATATAAAATCAAAGCTAATTCAAAATATTGCTTTGTACGAAAAGAGAGAGTGAGTCTTTTGTGTGAAATGAAATAAATAAAAATAGTGCTATAAATAAAATAAATAATAGGTTTCAGTATCCGGATGAGTGGACTGATAAACAGTACAGTGTTGCCATGACGATCGTGAAAATGAAGAAATATTTGACTGTTGGATTGTGCAATTAACTAATCAGAAATCAGTATTCTAGAGAATTGTAATAAATAAATAACAAAATATGCATTCCATAATCTATGATAATGTGCATTATGATAAAGTTTACAACAAGATAACAATCAGTCACAATAGTTTTGAATGAATGTAAAATGCTGAATATCGATATGTCAACATCAGCTGATAGTGTGTGTAGAGATGTATTAGGCTGACCAAGATTTAAAAAAAATATCCCTGTTTTGCTTAAGGTGGCATGAGACGTTCCTTCCTTGGCATCTCAAGGAATTTTCCTGACAAGAACAAGACAGATGAAATCCTCAAGGTGTCTAGAGCCGCCGGTACACATAATTATTTGGAGCCGCCGGTAGCAGCTCATTTGTTGTAGAAGGCCTGAAAAGTAACCTGTAGTCAGTCTCCGGGGCTCAGCTCCGGCTGATGTGGATACAGTCGGCTCTGTGTTTTAACTGTCTGTTCTTTTCTTTCTCATCTCAGAAAACCACTGGAGCTTTGGGCTAACATGCACACTCACTAGAAACTTCTCATGCAGGTCGAGCCCATGGCGTCTAATCTCTCAGAGAGGCTAATTATACGCTCACTTTATGTTTTTTACACCACATGCCTGTTGTCTCGATGTGTTAGGGTGCGTGGAGATTGATTGATAAGAGTAATTCCAAATGACATTGACCCAAATTTTTCAAGGGTACCAATGCATTAAAAAATAAAGTGACAGGATGAAGAGCACCTACTTTCCAGCCTCATTTATGATTGGCGCGGGACAAAGAAGAAGCGTATCTTCAACACTGACAGGTCTTTCATCTGAAAGTTAATTGCGAGAAAAAGGTATAATTTGATGGCACTTTTTATTGCTATAAAAGAAACAGTGCATATAGTGTTGCATACATTATTTTAGTGTTTTGTTAAGTCTCATAAAATGTGTCATTGGAAACTTTAAGGGAAAAGTACTGTTTGTAATGTAATATGACTTACTCAGTGTAACTGTGTCATTGACTCTGAAGCTGCACAGAACCTGATTGATGTTTCTGGCATGCAGAAATCCATTTCCCCTCACAACCACTTGGAAAGAATCTTAAAAAACACAAATAATAATATTAAACATTTAGCAAGTCCCTTTACTATACAGTTTTTTTCTAAAAAACAAGGTAACTAAAAAGTAGAATAAATATTGTTTTTATTTACTGTATTTATACTGAAATATAGTATTACAAAAATGCCTACACAAGGCGGTGCCTGTTTTTTAGATCTTTGTCTCATGTAGACCTTTAAAAAATGCCATACTGTGAAATTATAAAGTGTGCCCAGCCAGAGGGCAGGTTTTCTTATTTTTTTTCCACCCTTAATCTTTCAGGAACACTCAACTCAACTGGGCAAATGCATATGCTCCAGTGGTGCTAATAATAAAAGTGAAGAGGTTCACAAATCTCTTGGAGTCGTGTAGCTGGGGGTGCTGCGTTGGTGGCCGACAAAGCTGGCTGGCTGACCTTTGAGACCCCCCAGGCGATGCTGTAGACCCTCTGACGGCTGCTAAGCAGCATATGTTAGAGAGAAAAACACCCTCACTTAGAACCTGTCTCAGTGGGCGTCAAAGGATGCAGAGTGGATGTGACCTTACTCATGGCACTGAGGGATATTTGAGTGGATTTGTACTGATTCATCTCTGAATAATGCTACACTTTTAGAAAATGTTCTGGTTGTAAACCTTTAACATTTAAGTGTGTAAAGTTCACAGGATGAAAACATTCTGTGCAGTTTGCCATCAGGGAAGATAGTGGTATGGAAAGGTCAGGAGAATAGCACTGCTGTGAGCAATAACACTATACTATAAGTCTAAGTTCTCTTCTGGCAGCTTATACACCAGCATTTAAAGTATAAAATCCTAAATAGTAGATTGCCGCTTTTATCTCTAATAGACACATTAAAAAAGCTTTAAAAAAGTCAATTTAATTTGCTATTCACAACTTACTGCACTTCTGTAAAGGATATTTTACAAATATGTTCAAAAATTCGACTTTATTATTGTGAAAAGTAGTCATTACATACCAAGATGGAACCAACTCTAAATGAGAGTTTGCTAAAATAATGCCTTTTGCTATTGGTTAACATTATTCAATAGCCCATGTAGCCTTAGTGACATTAGCAGAAAATCAAAGCCATTTCAGAGAAAGAGTTATTGAATTTTCATTAAAGTTGCAATGTAACAGAAGTAGCGATAGGTCTTTTTCCGCATTCTGGCGTAAATTTGAATTCTGTCATGACTACTATCTTCAAATACGATTGGCAATTAGCATCCAGTTTGGATTGGTGGTATGGTTCTGTTCTGGGTAAAAACTCCCTGCGCATCCATGCAGCCTAGCATAGCAATAACCCCCCTTAGGATAAACAGAACAGAACCAACATTAATGTATTGCAGATATCATTAATTCAAGATTTTAAAGTGAAAATTGAAAATTCAGAAAATTGAATTTATTCTGATTCAGAAGGCAATCAGAATGCCAAATCCTGACTGATGAGAGGAGGAGCTAGGGATGAAGGAGGGTAATTAGCTCTTGAGAAACATGATAGCTGCTGATAATACTGAAGGAGCTTATATATGCATACAGTGATAGGCTTCATATTCCTATAGGTAGACGTGGATCAGCTGCACTGTAAAAAAAATATTGTTGGTTTAACTTAAAAAAGTAAGTAACCTGGTTGCCTTAAAATTTTAAGTTGATTGAACTGGAAAAAGTGAGTTAAAACAATGAAGAAAGTTATAAGTTATCCCAACTAAATAAATGATTTAAGTTGATTTGACAAAAGAAAAAATGTTGTGATAACAAATCTTAAAAATAATTTTTTTACAGTGTGAGAGTCACTGATGAGAGCTTGACTAACGTGACCTGCCAGAACTGACGCTACGCTTAATTGAAACGGGTTAAAAAAAAAGAAAAAAATGTTGAGCGGTTGTTGACTGGATGGAGGCAGAAAGGGCTGATTGTGACCTTTCGAAGATCGAAAATTTAACATGCACAGATGAAACGTTCACAATAAGATCATGCATTGAGAAGATAGATATTTTCATTTTTCGATTTTAGGATTATAAAGACAATTTTATTTTTTTGTAATATCTAAGAATAGATCACAATAAGACCAACTGTGTTCATTTACAATGTAAACTGAATTAATTTTAATATCATGTTGACTGTAAAGGTCCTTCATCCAGTATATCTACATACGACCTGGCGAGTAACGAAAAGGCTGGTCAAGGGAAAATTTGAGTGAAAAGAATTCTCAGCATGTCTCTTGTCTCACCACGGATCTACCAAAACAAATTCCACTCCCATCCGTTCCAATTAACCTGTCATTTCCTCTCTAATTATACTAATCCCGTCTGCCATGCAGAAGCCCCTCTCCACCCCACCTCTGCATCTAAATTTGCCCAGCTCTCTTGCTCATGGCTGCTTAATGTGACGTCCATACAGCTGAAATGGCTAATTCCATTTAATTTTAGAGGCCGGGCATCAACATCCATGTCCTTTTCTTCCCATGTTACTGTCAGACATGGTGTGTCGGGTTCTGACAGGACAGCGCAGGGGTAAAAAGGTCAACACTGGCTTGGCAGCGGGCAGCGCTGGCAGCGAGATGGTGGGCAGGGGCTGGTACGCTGTCGGCTCACGCCCATTGTGCTGCACGGGAGAGCTGACGCTTCCCATCCACACCTGAGAGCTTGATGGCTCGGGCTGTTTAGAGCAGAGGTGCCACGTCCGAGCACGGACACTTCAATCACTGCCCGAATGGGGGATGGGGTGCAGCAGAATCACAAGGGTTAATCAAAGCAACGATTGCTGTCACGTTTGATGGTTGGGCCTCCTCTCAAAACAGCGAGTGATGGCCTGTTTGCAGGCTGCACGGGCTGGTCACTTCTCATCAGTTTGATCGCTGAGTCTGTCAGACACTGGAACTGCCTCTACAGAACGCTAAACCAAAACAAACCACTAACCACGATCAAATGAATCTTCGGCTAAACTGTAATATTTAGAGCAATACAGCACACTTATGGCTAATACTGTAGCAATTTTCACAGTGCATTACTTTAAGGACTGATTAAATACCACAACAATATGTTTCATTAATTATTTGTCATGCAATGTTTCCATTAAGGATTATGTTCATTAATCATGATAATAAGTTTTTCTTCTTTTTTTCCGAAGAACTAAAAATCTCTCAGTATTTTCTATGCATACAATGGAAGTCAATGGTGTCCAATGTTGTTTTGGCCTCACTGATTTTGGTTGTATGCATAGAGTTGAAAAGATTTTACAATATATATATATATATATATATATATATATATATATATATATATTTATGTTCTGCAGAAAACAAAATTCATACAGCTTTGGAACAACATTTGAGAGAACTATCCAATTAAATCTAATCTAATACAAATAATGGGTAACATTTTAAAATGTCATAATTTGTTAACATTAGTTAATTTATTAACTAACACAAACTAACAATACGCAATACATTCTTGTTAATGTTAGTTCATAAAAATCCAGCTATTCCTTTTTTGTTCATGCTAGTTCACAGTTTATTAACTAATGTTAACAAATACAACAACTGATTTCCTTAATGTAGTAAACACTGAAGTTAACATTAACTAAGATCAATAAATACTGTAGAAGTATTGTTCATTCTTAGTTCAAGAGTTAATATTAACTAATGAAACCCTACTGTAAAGTGTTAATGACTCAAAGAGATCATTTTGATTTAAATTAACTCAATTAAAGTACCACTTTCCATTTCCAATCCACTTACAATACGGTCTCATTTGTTAACATTAACTAACTATAAGCTAACTATGTACAATATATTTTTACAGCATTTATTAACCTTTATAATGTTAGTTAATAGCTTGTTCATGTAAGTTCACAGTGCACTACCTAATGTTAACAGACCCAAATTTCTATTTAAAAAATGTATTAGTAGATGTAGAAATTTACATCAACTAAGATTAATAAATGCTGTACACATATTTCATTGTTAGTTTATTTTACAAATGAAAGCTTATTGTAAAGTGTTACCGACGAAACAGTGAGTGTGTGTGTGGTCAAACTGCAGGGGTATTGTTGTTTTAACCATCATCGTTTGCCAGTGGTCACTGCATGCCCTCTCTCTCTCTCTTTCTCTCTCCCTCCGTGTGCTTCAAGGTTTGATGTCCCACAACGTGACAGAGAACTTATTGTTAGGAATGCTCAAGTGAAATTAGAGAGCTGTGTTTTTTGCCTGGCTGGTTCTTCCTGGCCTAGTTTGCCACATCGGATCTGTTGTCTAGCCGAAGTGCTGCCGAATAACTGCGGTGCAGTTCTCCTCCGCCTTTACCAGTGAAATGCCCATTTGTTTAATTGGCTGCTGCTCAGCAGACAGGCCTGCCACATTGAGCACTGGTGTGTAGGCCAGAGAGGATGGATGTGGCTTGACATGACCTTATTACCATGCACTTACTGCGCGAGAGTGCACTTACAGCGCCGTCTCCTTGGAGATGCGAACAGGCGGATTAGCTCTGCCCAGACATGATCATTTTTCATTTTCTGGTGAATGCAAGAGTCTGCAACTCGTGAGCCATCATTACACCGCTTAGGGCTTTCACAAAATTAGAACAGCCTTTTTTGTATTAATGTTCGCGCACTGTCCTCTCATATATTTTTTTTATTAACAGCCTGATTTAATGTAAAAAATCAGGGTGTAAATTACATTTATTTTTAATTAAAAAAATGAACATGGCAAGTGCTGAGGTGACTTACCACCAGCGCATACACTGGACGGCTCAGCTGCTAAAATTTCAATGCAGGATTTCTTGATGATCTGCAAGAAGAAGAAGGTAAAAAACAGTGCTTGAGTGATTAGTGGTCAATACACACAGACCTTAGCCATTTTAAGGAGAACTAAATTCACTCGCAGATGCAAACTGAACTACTAACTGGTAATGCTGTAACATTACTCTTTTGGATATCCCCAAATTGCAACATTATATTTTGCAATGTGACTTTCTATTTTGCAATGATGTGACTTCATAGGTAACACTTTATTTCGGTAGTCCACTTTATACATTGTACTAACTATAAGTCCCTTTGGGTTCCACTTTATTTCGATAGTTCACTTTAGACATTCTACTAACTCTAGGTAACTTTGCAACTACATGTCAACTAACTCTTTTTAGAGTATCAGTAGACTATAGTAGACTGTTAGGTTATGGTTAGGTGTAAGGGTTCGGGTTAGTAGAATAAATTGACTTGTAGTTGCCAAGTTACTTATAGTCAGTAGAATATCTGTTGGGGGACCAACAAAACGAAGTGTTATCAGATATTAAGCAGATAGTGTACTACTAGTGTACTCTAATAACACTTAGTTGACATGTAGTTGCAAAGTTACTTATAGTTAGTAGAATGTCTAAAGTGGACTATCAAAATAAAGTGTTACCTAATTTTGCAACTACAGGGCTGACTTTCAAACATTTGCAACTACATGTCAACTAATTCTCAGTAGAGTAGTAGAGACTGTTATGTTAGGTTTAGGGTTCTTAGAATAATTGACAGTAGTGTTCGATTACACAGACCTATGAAAAGTCTGTCATACATCGATCGGCCAGCACAGCGCCGTTTCAAGTCGAACACACCTATTGTCTCACATTGTAACTTTATTTAGCAACTTGACTGTTTAACTCACAATATGACTAGGCTATATTTAACAGTGTGATTTTATTTCATTTTTAAAGATTTTCATTTTTTTTTTTTTTTGCTTTTTTTTCCACTCTGAGGTGGCGTCTGTCTTGGTCCCTTATTTTCCTTTTGAAAAAAATATATGACTCCAACCGAGTTAAACGGTTGGCATAGCATCCATGTTTGTTGATAACAGCCACGAAATGCCAACTCTTGCAATTTTATAAGTGACTCCTGTATTCCGTACACACGCAACGGGGTAATTTAGGTGATTCACTCCCTCATGGACAGAGACAGGGAAAAAGAGACACTTACAGAGTCTATCATTCCTTCAAGGGCCTGGAATCCTCCAATAACTGGGAACACATGCTCTATGGTGTCTGCAATCGTGGCCAGCTAAACAAGCAATACAATATAGTCGATACAGGTTAACTGAGATACCCGAGAACAGAAAAGTTATTATAAGATTAAAATCTGAGGCACAAAAGCAACCCATTGTACAATGTTACCTGTGTCTGATTAAAGTCTTTTACTCCCACACAGTATACAATGGCTCCCAAAGACCGAGCTCTCTGTGCCTGCACAAACACAGTCAGCTCTATTACTGAGCAAATGCCACTGTCAATTACACATCTGCCAGAGAACACGCCACATCCGTTGCGACATCACTGGCTTGTGTACTTGCCTCTTGCTGTGCTGTGACAAACTGATAGTCATTTAACTCCCCGTCCGTCAGTGCTATGATCACACTGGCTGTGCCTGTGAAATAAACATCATCACATTAAGGCTTGATTTTCCCATAGTAAAATTGTGAATGAATTGCATTGTGATTTACGGTGATGCTTACCATAATTTCCACGATATATCTGCAGATTTGCCTGCAATTTGATATTTACAGCATTTTAACTTTAATTTTAACCATAGTAGAGGATTTAAATTGATTCATTCAAAAATAAAAAAAATACCTCTTCCAATCCAAGATTCATATACGTATCACCTCCTGGTATTTGTCTTCTCAACATATTTAAACCTCTGGTAATATCATCTCTGAATTACAAATGTTGGAGAAATGTTATTACAATGCAGAAAGAAAATGAGTACTTGTAACATTAATGGTGTTTTGGATGCGTGTTTGGTCATACCTATTGTCTGTGAGTCTCATAATCGTGGTTCCACGAGTTGAAAAGACAATGAAGGACATTCGTAACATTGGGCTGAAAAGAAAGATTTACAGTCATATTATCCCTTAAAGGTATTAGAGGACAATAGTGCATCAAAACTAAAGCACTTTACCTTATAAATTTCTCCGCAAGATGCTCCACAAAGGAGTAAATTTCAATCCAGTGGTTTTGGACACTTCCTGATCTGTAACAAAATCAGTTGAAAAACAACATCCTTCAAAGAGTCAGAGGCTAATATCTCTTATGTACATTATAATGGCTGCCTTAAACACAATTACATATCAATTACCACCTTTTCTTATATCTGAGAGTAGCAGGTCCTTAAGTACTCTATAAAATGCGCACATGCCACTAATTAATTAAAAGCCCCAAAGCGTTCCCAACAAGGGCTAATTGCCTTTGTGACAGATGAATCTGCCTCCTGCTAGCAGAGAGCAACACCCCTTCCTCCTGGAGCCAGCCATTTGAATGGGAACAGATGGCAATGGTTGAGTGTAACAGGTTGAGGACTAAAACAGAACTGGCATCTACATCAGCATCCAAAAAGACTCACAGCTCCATCTCTGACAGGGGGGTCAGGAAACATAAAACTGGACATGTGGGCAATCGATGCTAATCTGACGTCAGTTCTAAACACACCTGCAATTTAATATAATGTGGCTCCAAAATTAACACTTAGGCCACACTTATAAATGTACGAATGGCACTGCATTAGATTAGACAATATGTGCCAAGTGCCATATATTTTAAGGAAACACAAAACAAGCACCAAAAGAAAGTTTATTTAGAAAGCCGTTTGTCCGCTTTTAAATGATAAAACAACGAAGCTTTGGGACACTTTCTGGTTGTCAACTGTTAGTGGAAAATGTCCATAGTTAATGGGATGAACTGGTTACTCTGCTAGGACACCTGTGTGAACTGAACTGACTCCATATACTGCTACTGCATTCACTACAAATCAAATCTGTTAAACAGTAAAGATGGCAAAAAGAAAAGAATTTAGTTCTATAGGGTTAATTTCCTCTAATGGCGGATGATACATATATTTGATATTCTGTTATCTAATGCAAAGACATTCAGACCGTTTTTTAAGTGTCCAAATACAGTTTTGGGCCACTGAAATAAATAATTACATTGAATACACAGTGGTGGTATGCAGCAGTCTAGAATAACAAGACTGTGCTCGTTTCCTTTGATGCAGATTAATCTCGGTTTTATCTCTTTTCCTGAGAACTAAGGTCAATCTTCAGCAAACCACTGACCAATATTGTTATAGAAACATCAGCTCTCTTTACAAAGTCTGTTTATTATTATTATTATATATATATTATTAATTCTCGTTCCACTGATAATCAAATGTATTGTCTCTCTGAAAAGCACTGCAGCTGTTTTCTTTCCAAAAACTCTCTGAACCGATGGCTTGATATTTAGAATTAGTGTAGGGTCACTGAGTGGCCCCAAAACTTCAGACAAAACTATTCAGCTGATTAAAAGTGTGGAAGTGTGGCAAAAGCTTGATGATGCATGCAATCCATTGGGTCTCGAAAGGCATTCAGAAAACTTTACAAACAGAAGTGCTAACTTTGAAATGTGTAACTAAAATGCATGTGCACAAAGGATTATAGCTTTATATTGATCTAAATTCTTGTTATAGCTGAACTCAAGCTATAGCCGGAATTTTGATAAAACTGGACTTCAGATTTCACACAGATGTCACTATATGAACAAAATTATGGCCAAGAGACATTGCAATGTTACTCTTGAGCCTTTAGCTCAGATTTGATTAACATCTGATGGCCACAAACGGTTCGTTTAACCGACATACAGCATGCTTCAGCATGTTTAAGCTTGCTTGAGTATTCACTCCAAGGTGCTGAGTAGGCTATGCCACATTCTCCTTACACTAACTATATGAGCTCATTACACACTTAAATATTAAGAACTATTTGCATTATGCAAACAAACATTTATGTAAACAACTGGATGCACTTGTAAGTTGCAAGGAAAAAAGATATGCATTTTAATTTTATCTTGACATGATACTCTTTTTACAATTGGGTATTTGCATTATATTTGTATAGGTGCATGCTCTTACATCATGATGAGGTATATTTTTTTTGCTTTTATGATTGAGACGCCCCTGAGATAATGATGCACAAATGCGCATGTGAACAGCACCAGGTGAGGCACAATCATGCTTGTTAAAGCATCGCCTGAGGCAAAGAGTCCTGACCTCCTGCTGCGTCTAAAGCCATTTGACAATACTTTCTTTTTAGGAATCCGCAAACTATCAGGAAAACCATAAGAAACACTGCATGTTAATTCTGTAGAGGCGGTAAATGGTTCAGTGTTTTTATGGTTTGGAATTTTGTTCAAACTTCATGACAGTTCCATGAGATATTGTTCTCTTATCCTGCCATCATGGTCTCCTTTGGGAATAGCTAGATCTCACCGGACGTTTCTTACTGGTAGCTTTGTATTCGAACAAATTAGGCTACTATCTATTTAAAAATATCAACAACTTGTTTTGATATTAAAGCATTTGGATCAATTCAGCTGTTATTCGGTTGTCAAAACGAATGACATTTCTTATAATAGCGGTCCACGCGCGTCTGAGGTCGTCGATCAAAGGCGTAGCGCGCAATGCTCGGTGAGAAGAGAATAAGATGCCATAAAATATAAAGGCCACTTACTTGTCGAGGACAAAATACAAGTCGAAAGCACCTTGACAAGACCTCTTCTCTTCCTCAAAATAAGGCTCAGCTTTTCCAGTATGAAGACTAGGCATCAAAATCACTAAAATACCCACAACATGAATCAGAGAACGTGCCATTTCATCAGTTGAATATATCCAATAGCACTGGAGTAGAACTGCATTTCATATTAATCCTGCAGAAAATTAAAAATATTCTTTTCCATGAAATTTATTGAATGTATTGTCTGTCACTGTGTTACATTCAGTAGTCTGAGTCCGCTTTCAAAACATAGAAAGCTCCTCCTCAAGGAGAAATGTTTGGAGGAGCGACCACAGACCGGACAGCGCGAGCAGGCAACAGCAAATAAAACTTCCTCTTTCCGGGAGAGGGAGAACTTCTGGCTTCAACGACATTTCTTAAATACTATTTTGCTTTTTATGCATTTTGTTTAGTGATTAGGCCTGTATATAAAATCAGTAAACAGAACATATTAAAATTTAAGATTTTTTTTTTAAAGCCAGAAATCTCCCTCTCACGTAGCCTACATACACACAGTCACAGATATAGCCTATAGCTAATATATATTAAAAACATATATATATTACACACACATTTAGGCTATGCTGTAAACACAACTTTGTATCTTAAATGCAATTAATCGTGATTAATCGATTTAACAGCAATAATTATAGGCTGTCATTCGAACCACTCAACATTAATGGGCAATGTAGCTAAAAAAAAAAAAAAATCAATTCATCTTTGAAAGTAGCCAATTAAGCCTACTTATTTATGAAAATAATCAAAATACATAAGCAGAAGAGGCAAAAAAGTTTCCATAATTGGAGAATCATCACAAAATTTTGATCGACATTGGCTGGGTTTATAACTCAGAGACCCGTTTTAAATGAGCATACATAGGCTGAGCATACAGTCTTTTGTGGTAGGTACTTTACAATCTAACGGTCTCTGACTTCTGTCATTGATTACCCTCGCTTCTAATTAACACGCCTTCAAAGCTCGTGGAGCACCAATCAAAACGCCACCTGGGGGGTTTGGGGAGAAATGAGGCGCATCAGCTCCGCGTCCTTCGAGTGGATAAGTGCGTGACTGCACAGCGCGAGACAGTCCAGAGACTGTCAGGATCAGGAGACAGTCGTGATCGCGAGCTCTCGGTGGATAATTACAAATCGCATCTCCTTGGATTGTGCACCTGTTCCTGAACATCCTCAACGCGAACCTGATTTAGGTAAGTTGCGATTTTCCTGCATCATTTTAACATCTTACATTTTATACAAAAATGCCGGCTGATTATTTATTTATTATTTCATTATTTACGTCATTAGCCTATACAGTCTAGAGACAATCAAACAAAATAAAAAATAATAGAAAAAAATGTAAAGTTCTGATTCAACAATAGATTTCGCACAATATAGGCCTATACACATCAGTCTCAGTCGAATTGAATGAAATCATTACCTAGGCTAGCCTACATATAAAAAATATTGATAGGAAAAATAATTTGGCTGTAAGACTGTTTTAAGCATGAAAACATTATTTTGGCTAATGTCATTCTCATTATTTTTATTCAGATTTTCAGGTATAAAACATGGAGCAGAGTTTTATGCCTCGCGCGTTGTGGACTAATGACAGCAAATTTCTCCATCACCACGTCCCGGATTTCTTCACTAGTGTACAAGTTACACAGGATGTACCAGCCGGAACATCATTCGGACCATGTGTTCTCCATAATAGCTTTTATGACACCATAGCATTCATTGCACTGAAATCCTTTGACAAACGGAATAAATCATATGTATTTAGGGTGAGTAATATAGCATTCACTGCATGTTTAAACATGCATATACACTTAGCCTACATTTTAATCTAAAGTTTTTTTTTTATTATTTCAAACTGCACTTTACAATAATTGCTGTTTTGTGCTGTGTTAGTAAATGAAACATGCATAATGCAGATATTCAATTTGTATTAAATAAACAGTGCAAAAGGTCAAATGGTGACTTTCTTGTAAAGAAAAAAAGTTTTAGATTTTCTCTAATGGCAAATATGTCCCTCTATCAACAGGTAGATCCTGAGGCGATGAAAGGCTCTCCATTTGTAGTTCCTTGGCTACGGTTAGTGCAGGCTGCAGTGAGCGGAGAAGAACAGAATACTGAGGCCTACTTGAAAGGAGGACAGCTGCACTTTCGGACTATACGAGATGTGAAACAAGGGGAGGAACTGCTTGTTTGGTACGACGAGGAGTTGTCTCATCTTTTGGGGTTTGGAGACATAAAGACAAAAGCCGTGACAGATGGTGAGTAGCAGCTTTTAAAAAACAAAACCATTTTTTTTCTTTCTTTCATTGTTAATGGTATTTATTAACACTCAAATCATTTTAAACCAGTTAATGTAACCACAAAATGTCATGGAATGTTCATAGGTCAATGATATTATTTTTGTGTATTTTTGACTGAATAAATGAAGGAAAAAATACAAACCCAAATATATTCTACACTCTGTATTCTACAAAATAACTAGTGCACCTCTTTCAACTTCTAAAGTAAAATATATGTAAAAAGAGTAGTTTGGCATAATATATTGCATTCTTTCTTTAATTATTAGCTGTATTTTGTGAAATATGAATAATATTTGTATTAAAAAAATAATTTGTCAACAAAAGCAATGGTCCTACAACCATAATGCAGGCCATTTTGTTTTCATGTGACAAAAAATCCACTATTTATGAATGTTTGACAAGGTCTGGCACGTTTTGTTCAGATCAAATGGTTTAACTCTAAGGCAACTTTTTATTCATAATGTAAAATATTATAGCCAAGAGTTATATCATTAATGTTTTAAGAAATGCGTGAAAACAATATGGATACAAATAGGCCTATCACATTTAAATAGCCAATTGTGTTTACGTAACATTGCCTGTTATTGTTATTATCATGCTCTGACAGCGTTTGTTTCTCTTCATATACAGACTATATATGTACGAGATGCGGCCAGGCCTTCAAGAACGAAAACCCTTTCCTTGCCCACTGTCGTTTTTTATGTGCGCAGGAAAAAGTAGATATTATCCGGCCAACCAACGAACAGAAACACGAAGTCAAGCGACAACGCAAAGTAATAGATTTTCACAACATTGCAAGAGATCTGGAGCACAAAAGGAACGATTCTTCCGAAGACATGGCCATACTTCGAAAAAGAAAACAAGATGCTTCCTTAAGCCCCAGGAACAAAAAAACAGTTTTATTGGAGAGAACCAACCTCACTAATCACGCCAACGTCAACAAAGACAATCCGCCTGTTCAGGATTCGTCAGAATCAACAGACAACTTTTCGACAAGTGAGTCAAAAAGAAATAAAAACAGCGCATTTACCGAGGTTAGAAAACCATCAGAGCACGAGCAGTCAAACCCTGAACAGTCATCACGAGATGTATTGGCGTCTGACATGGGCCTACAATCCGACTGCAGCGCGTTCTCGTTTGTTGTACCCAAGAGCGCGCACTCGGAACAGAAGAGCGCGTTCTGTGAACCCAGCAAACGCACAATCGCGGAATTTCAGAACACTTCACCGCCAGATTCGGATACTATCTCAGACTCTTTCAAATCAAAACCTTCTCTAGGATACAGAAATGTTCTGGCTTCGCACCTGTTTCCCGCTGACTTGCCAGGCACTCATGCAGGTGGAGTGATGGCCGCTCCTCTGGCTACAGGAGGATCCTTCTATTACGCACCCGAGCATTGGACCAGAGTTATAGGTGGCCAGCTGCAGTCTACATCTTCGTTGACACTTCTTCCCCCTACTTTCACTCCAATGGGTGTTTCAGTGCAGAACTGGTGCGCCAAATGCAACCTCTCATTCAGAATGACCTCCGACTTAGTGTTTCACATGAGGTCCCATCATAAGAAAGAGTTCGCCGCAGAGGCTCAGGTGAGGCGGAGGCGAGAGGAGAAACTCACCTGTCCCATCTGTCACGAGTACTTTCGAGAGCGTCACCACCTCTCACGTCACATGACATCACATAATTAAGAAGAAAATCTCTGGCGCACTTTAATAGGCTATATGTTATTATGCATTGACCATAAATTGTGCATTTAGGCTACTTAATGATGGACATTTGTAGTTAGGCTGCTATTGGACAGATGAGGTGTTTTGTTGTAACAAATAGCAATACGTTACAGACGTGAGACGTGGTAAAAACTTGAACCTTTCAACCATCCACCGGTCATTGTCATTTCAGCCATGCAGTGAGAGCAGTTCAGGATAGGCCTACATCGCCACTAGGTGGCCATAGAAATGCATAACTTTCTCTTTATAAATAGCTGTCCCCATTTAGTTGACTAATATTGTTGAATTGCCTGATAATTTTCAACCTAATAGTGCCTTACAAATGTCAGGATTAGTAGGCTGCATGTAAATGCTATTGAGAAACGGAGTAAAATGCTCCAGCATTTTTAGGTTTGCTAACAGCTGACTAAAGTATTATAAGTTTAGAGTAACATTGTTTTGTAAAGAGATTTTATATTTGAAAAATCCATCCCTTCAGAATGCCAAATCTTTATGTTATAACATTTTTTATCAGCACAACGACAAGGAGGATGTATTTATTTAAATATTGTCTTTTTTTTTTTTTAGACAAGTCATTGTATTCATTAAAAAATTCAACATATTCCCCATGTGTTTGCCTCTGATTTTAGCCACCTAGAAATATGGAACATATAAAAAACAATTTTCTTTGTGTGCACACAAGTAGCATTGATATGTATTATGTCAAGAAGCAAGTATATAGGCAAGTATCTAAGGTTATTTGTGTTAATGCAACTAAATATCTAATATGTCGTAAATGTCCTTGCATTTGACAGTCAATAATATCTCAGACAGGTGTTATATTGTTCAAGATTTGTGAATATTATGGTACTACATAAAGTAAACTCTTTTTTCTTATAACCTTATAAAAATGCTTATTTATTTTAAAATAAAGTAAACACTAATTGAAGCACTGGTTTGACACACATGCACTAACACTGAGTGACCAGTAGAGTGCCCTGTCTAACAATTATTAAGTCCTTGAAGGTCTCATCACTCACAAAATAGCCCTAGGTGTTTTGTAGAAAATGTGGCGTTGTGTTCAGGTTTATCTTCGCCACATGCACACTTCCTAAAAAGTTAGTTTTAGTTTTGTGTTGAAGCCCCCTGCAAGTCTCCCTTCAGGCATAGGCTATGTGATAAACTCAAACACTCTGAGAAAGTTCACCAAAAAGTCAACGTTTTGACCTCACTGCGAAGTTCAAAAGGACACCCGTCTGCATTTAGTTAGAAAATCAAACATTCTGCTCATTCAAGAAAGTAAATACAGAACTTCTGAAGACACATTGAATGAAAAGATGTGTATACACTGGCTCAATATTGGTGCAATTAAAAGCCCAGCGGTCGCTCCTGACGGTAATCACTTGAGGAGAAAGTCATGACACAGAAACTCCTCTGTTCGCGCTAAAGAGCATCTTTCATCGCTGCCATTAATCGATCAGACCTCATTTGGAAAACTAAATATTGACTTTGGTTTAAAGTAACTGTTGAGTATTTAGGCCTGTTAGAAAGATGCAGGGCAGGCCCATCACTTTTGCGCGTTGAAACTGTCGCAGACATGCTGTTTGTCACAAGTTGTGCTATTGTGATTGTGAACACGTGCCACATTGCTTCATTTCCAAATAGGCTACTTCTGCTGATAACCATCTACCTAAAAGCGATTCAGTTTTTACACATAACACACAATGATTTTCATACTTGATCATATCCCAATATAGCATAGAGAAAAGAAATGCGGATCATCTTTTTGCACATTCACTGACTGTAAACAATGTAATGGTTCAGACTTAAACGTGCAGATATCGATTAATTTTAAGAAAGTATCGATTCTTTTTAGGGAAAATTTGCGATTCACTTTAAATGTATTGATGCTATTTAGGAAAATTAGCGATTTATTTTAAGGAAAAGTATCAATTCATTTTTAAAAAAGCAGTGATTCATTTTAGGGAAAAGTATTGGTTCTTTTTGAAAAAGTATAGTTTTTTTCAAGAAAAGTATTAAATCACTTTAGGAAAAGTATAGATTCTTTTTAAGAAAAGTAGAGATTAATTTTGAAAAAGCATCAATTAATTTTAAGAAAAGTAGCGATTCGAATCGATTTTCAAAAAGTATCGATTCATTTAAAAAGTATCGATTCACTTTAAGGAAAAGTATTGATTCACTTTAAGGAAAAATAGTGCTTCATTTTAAGAAATGCATTGATTCTTTTTGGAAAAGAAGCGATTCATTTCAAGGAAAAGTAGCGATTCATTTTAAGAAAAGTAGTGATTCATTTTAAGAAATGAATCAATTCTTTTTGGAAAAAGTGTTGATTCTTGTTAAGAAAAGTATAAATTCTTTTAAAGAAAAGTAGCAATTAATTTTAGGAAAAGTAGAAATTCATTTCTAAGTAATTAATCGATCCAGTTTGAAAAAGTAGCAATTCATTTTAGGACAATTAGCAATTCACTTCAAGGAAATGTAGCGATTCACTTCAAGGAAAAGTAGTGATTCACTTTAAGGAAAAGTAGCGATTCACTTCAAGGAAAAGTATTCACTTCAAGGAAAAGTAGCGATTCTCTTCAAGGAAAAGTAGTGGTTCACTTTAAGGAAAAGTAGCAATTCACTTCAAGGAACAGTTAGCTATTCACTTTAAGAAATGATTCGATTCTTTTTGAAAAAGTAGCGATTCATTGTATGAAAATCTACTGTTTTTTAGCCATGTGGTTTCAGAATGGTTGTAAGCTGGGAAGGCTGGAGACTAGTTTAAACCTGCTGAGAGAAGCACACTAGGCTGGCTTAATTTTTTTATTTTCAGCAAAATAATTGTATTAATTATAATAATTTAAAAAAAATTCAACACACAAAGTATTCATGTTTTTAGTGCTAAACTTTCAGTAAAAGCAGCAAACACATTCACATCTCTTCAACCTAGACAACTGACATCTTCAAGTGTCGCCTTTTCACACACTGACTGCACAGAGAAGCCATTCAATCCACCTTGTTATGCAAAGGAAAGACACAGCAAACAGTAATTGGGTTCTGTTCTTTGAGAACATGCTTCTCATTTTCATTCATGGGCTTGTGGGATTAAGAGTTTACATCAAATTAGTTTGAGCAGGGTGACATCATCTGTTGAAGTAAGAGCTGGAACTTCCTGCACTTTGTGACCTGATGCTCTTGAAGTGGGTTGAAGGTGGGGACTGGGGGTTAGAGATGTCTTTGATGTCCAGGTCAAGAAATAATGTACCAAGCAGGTTTCTGATTCTTTTATTCATTACCTTAGTTTAGTAAAGAATAGGATCACATGAATTTATGCAGCAGAAAATACACATTGGTGGTTTAACATATATTTTATTCTACTTATAAGGCTAGTTGTCATAATTTAAAACACACATTTACAAAAATACATTCTCTAAAATATAATATATTGAATCCAAATGAACAATTGTTTATATACACCGACACATTTGGCCCAAATACTCCTTACATATGACACCACACCAAGATCATCAAACATGTCTGAATAAGGAAAGAGGAACCTTGAGTAACTTCTTTTAAAATAAAACAAATGCACAGGAAAAACTAGTCAGCACTAGCTACCAATGACCTTGGTGATTGGCAACAGCACTATTTGGGAATACCCCTAAAAAAATTGAATTGTTAAAAATTTGCTGCTTAGTTTTCTAACAGAACAAACTTTTGAATATATAAAAATAAGTTCAGATTATTTACTATGAGACTGCTTTGCAGTCATGATAACTGTTTGATGTAAATGCTTGATGAAAATGATTAACGAGTTCACATTTTCACATGTAGGCTACTTAATCATGTATGGTTTTAAATGTCCCAAATATCAAGTTACACTTACATTTTTAATATACACAAACTTAATCTGCCACTACATCCAACATTCATCACAATAACAAAATAATTCTTTATTCTACTTTTCTTTCCAATGTATTTCAACAGCTCTGCCAAAAGAAAGGGTTTATGTTATATTCAGTATGCTTAGTATAAACCTTATTGTATATCGAGGAATCTACAAGTATAATTCCAACAGCCCTTTATGTCATGGAGCTGAAAAGCCGACAATTTAAGCAATAAGTTTAGGAGTAAGTGCTCATGTTACTCAATGAAAAAGGTTTACGACAGATCCCTCATGAATAAACAGAGGAAATGAAAATAACACAGATAAGCATTCATAAAATATGAAATGCAGTCCTTAAAAATGTATGCACTTTCTAAGAAGTGCAAACTAAAGACAATATGCCTCTTCAAGGTAAATTCGGTTTCAAAACCACGACAACGCCCATTTGTCTTTTTTCCCCCTCTGAGCAGCACGTCTATCTACAAGCGCACGTCTCCACCGACATGTTGGGGTAGATCTTCAATACGATGTTTTTGCTCTCATCCATAAACAGTACACTGAGTGGTTTCATCTTCTCTGGGACACAGCAGGGCTCTGGGATACCTGGAATTATCCCAACGGCCTTGACTATGCTCTGGATGGTTGCATGGTTGGAGGGGCGGACCACCTGAAAAGGGCAGAAAAGAGAGGATAATGAGGTATGGTAGCGTTTAGATATGCAACTTTTGTTTTGCTTTCTTTAATAGAGCAGGGGAAATTATGTCTTACAACACCCTTCTATTATTCAGAACAGAGGGACTTTAAAACTGGCTCATTTCAAAAGAAAATGTGTCCAAAATGTGCTTAAAACCCCCATTAAGCGTACAACTATTTGACTGTAATTGCACATAAAGATGGTGTGCTTTAGTTGCGCTGGAACCGAAACATTTTCTGAAGGGATTCTTTGTTTAAAAATCTCTGGCTAGAGAGGCTGTATTAACCATAGTCATTTTTAAATATTTCAACATGTCTAAATGATTCACGTTCGCGTACGCGGATTCGCGCCTTGAGGTTCTCTGACCTTTGGAATGGGGAATTCACACGTTCCTGCGCAGTAGAAGGCATCGAAAGACTTGGGCGACAAGATCCATTCGTTCCACCCGATGTCTGCAAAGTCCACCTTCAGGTACCTCCTGGAACAGCCGCGAGGTTCTTTCCACTGTCTCCTCCGGGCCTTCTTCATGGTTTTCTCATCAAACCGGAGAACCTGAGACTTGTCGAATCCATCAGCGTGCTCCTGGCCTTTCCTCCGACGTTCTTTTTTGAAGGGCTTTGGCTTGAGCGCAAAGTAAGCACTTTCCCACAAATCGTGCTGTTTGAAGCTGCTGTACTCCACCTCCGGGAGCTCGTTGTTCTCAATGGGATCAGAGAAGTCGGATGCCAGTTCCCGCTTCACACGTGTGTCAAGTGAGGAGGAGTCTGGAGATTGAGTTGGCTGCTGGTCTGCAATGAAAGGGTCATATCTCTGTAGGCTCACAGCCACACTGTTCGGCTCTGAAATGGCCAAGTCGTTAGCATAAACCAGCAAGTATGGAAGACTGGAAGGTGAGTGCTGGTCATAATGCCTTTGATACTGCTCTCCATAGTCAAACTCCACAGTGATCAAAAGGTGATTCTTATCTCGGGCCTCCTTTATAATGACAGACACATCCTTGCTCTGCCAGGTCCCGCGTCTGTGAGGAACTACGGTGATGTTTCCGAGCAGCGACCCTGGGTCTGAGCTGACGGAGGGAGACCGGAAAAGAAGACGGAGAGAGGGTAGCAGTTGGAAGTTCGGGATGCGACAAGAGGGGTTCTTGAAGCGCTTGCAGAACCAGGACCTCTGCCGTGGCCGTTTGTCAAAAAAGTAGTGAAACGTAGATGTGAGAATCACCTCGGACCCCTGAAGGGAAGTGAGATTCAGCCAGTATGAGGCCCTCTGCTCCACATTCTCTGCAAAGATACGAGAGAAACTGCTGAGTTACATATTAATTATGAATATGGGCTCAAACAACAGGCTTTTTGTTCTGTGTATGGGGATAAAGAAAGCACAAGGAAGTGAGGAGACATGTTACTCCTAGAGCAGACATATGGAAATGTTTATTTAGGTTCCCTTAAGAGTTAGAACCTGAAACAATGTCAGTCTTTTAATCGGCACTGATTAAACGCTTTAGCAGACTGCAGAAAAAAGACTGTATTGTTTCGTGAGTGTGTGACAAATGTTATTTTAATATCCTGGTTTAAACAGCTGTTTTCAAACAACGTGTCATTAACGAGAAGAGTTCACAAAACGTGCCGGATCGTCTGCGGTTGTTCCGCAACACTTCCGATATCGCACGGTACATCTACAAATCATATCCTGTCATTATTTATCACTTTACCAGATTTAGACATTTCAAACATATATACAAATATGCTAGGGCTGTAACAAGATATCTGCATTGCACGAGACAAACGTTAACAGCCGAAAAGGCTGCTGACAGAAATGATTGTCATTAGAAAGTCATTAAGTGTAATTCTTTTAATTTTTAAGTAAATATAAATAAAGCCATTTAGAAGATACAATTAAGCGAGTCGTAATTGTATTTTTTTCAATATGAATACCATGTTTGCTTTTAAACGTCATATAGTGGCAGCATAGCGTTTGTTTGCATCATACAATTCTTCCCCCCCACCCCATAGGCTACTTACCAGGTTTTGCTTTGAAACTTCTTACTGTATTTCCCTCTTTGAGTCGGTTGGGTTCAATGTTGCACTTCTCATACAGTTTAAACATATGCTGCGAGAGCGCGTCTGTGGCATCGAGCGCGTCCGTCGTGCTGTCGCGCGCGCTTCTCCAAACACCTTCAGATGCGCCAGGTTCGGATCCAACCCAAAGCAGTAACAGGTGCGTCAAAAAGACACATTTAAAAGTCATGTTGCAAAGAAAGAAAAAAGTTTCCAGACGATTGATCAGATGAAGGGATAAAAACGCGCTAGCACATATCAAAACATAAGCTACTAAAGGATCCCAGTATGACAGAATGACGTTTTCCAATGATGCGGTTTAGATAGACGCTTTTCTTGCCTTTTAACGCAGAGCAGAGAGAAAGTTGTTCCAGAAGTTCTAGCAGTCTCATGGATAACCTGTGATACATCACTTATTTCTTCTGACCGCCACAATCCACGGGAGCAGGCATAAGCGGAGTGAGGGGCTGACGTATCCGCCCACCAGCCAACAGGAGCTGCTGCTGCTACATTACACCCGATCCAGCGGGAGGCCAGCGAGAGGACAATTCAGAAAACATGCACATTCACAGGTTTTTTTTGTGTGTGGAAATACATTTTTAAAAAAAATTCTTTATTCAAAATTAGTTTTAAAGTTGATTATTTTTTATTTTAAAACCAGACTGCTGCACTTTGCAGTCCATTTTGTTGAAGCTTGATGAAAAATATTAGGCCTACGGTTCACATTTTTCATATAGGCTTTTTTGTGTATTTATTTACGTTCAATGACCCAAATATGAAGTTACTTTGATTTTACACACCAAAAGGGTCATTCCACCAAGCATTCATCATGACAGTAAAACATCTTTGTTCTAATTTACTTTCTAAAGTAATTCAATAGTTCAATGTTGTATTCAATATGCCATAAAACCTTTGTAAGCATCCAGTAATCTGCTACCATAAATATGAGTCCAACAGCCATTTATGTCTTGGTGATGACAACAAAGTTGACATGTTACGAGGATGCGAGCATAAGAGCTCATGTTACTCATCTAGTACAAAAAAAAAAAAGTTTACACAAGATTCCTCAAATGAGGGAAAGGGAAACTTGAATTATGCAGTCTAAAAAAGAGATAAGATGCATAATGTTCATTTTTCCTTCTTGATCAAATAAGCATTCATTTTTTAAGTAAATATAAAACGTGCAAATGCATTAATTTGAAAGTCTACTTTGAAAGGGTTTGATTTCATTATAGTGATTTCATTCAGTACATGAAGCACACTGGGGGAACAGCCCTGTCACCTCTGTGTTTTGTGTGAAGTGTCTGCAGTGCCGTGCCAACAATGCTGGTTCTGTGAAAGCCCGGAGCTCCAGTGGAGAGACCATAACAAGCCCGGCCGTTTGGGTCATTGCGTGCCATTAAACACCTCCTGTGGCCCCTGGGGACCCTACTGGAGACCCCTATTTTTCCTTCACACTTGAATGTTTCTTAAATCTGCATTAAAAATCTGACGTTCCTGCCCACTAGGACACTGTTACTGAGTGAATCACGGAATAAATCGAGTAGGAGGAGATACCTCTGCTCTGCTTTGTTTCCACCCCTCTTTTTATTGTCCGACTGTGGGAAGGCGAAGCCATTAAGCTTCAGAATCCTATACCGCTTTTAAAAATGAATAAAAAAACAGAACAAGGGAGGAAGAATTCAAATTAACTCTGGTTCACAGAGACCTTTGATTCTTCAATATGACTGCATCACTTGCTCTCTATAGCACCTGGGAGAGACTATTCTGTTTCAGATCCCGCTGGGTCTGGATACTGAGAATGATTTTTTAATTAACAAGCTAACTACGGAACGGAATGATGCTAATAAAGCACAAGGTCTTGTGTAGAGGCTTGTCTCTCCAGGACAAATTCCCTAATATGTTTGTTCCTTATTTCGAAACAGCTAGTAGTCCTGGTCTTGTAAAGCACGTACGTATTATTTTTCTCGCCTCCTCCCTTCCCTCCCATTCATGAGCTTTATATAGGGCTAGTTACAAACGAAACACATCATTCATTGGTTGGAAGGGGTAAAAAAAAGAGAGAGAATTCTATGAATGAGAGTGATAAAACTTTGATGCAGAAGGTTTTACTGGAAATTCCTATAATTTCATTAGTTAAATCCCAATTAGAATTTAATGCAGGACTTTAACAGTGATTTACAGGCATGGTTCAATAAGCAGTGGTTTATAAAGGAAACGCCTGTCTAATAGAGGACCCAAAAAAAAAAATGTCTGTAATGAATTATAATTCTCTTTATTGATTTATCATATGTATCAATATCTTTCCTGCTGTTCCACCTATGATCAAATTCATCCATAACTAACTTTACTTTAAAACATCATGTTTGTGTTTCATTATTTATTTTTATTGACAAAATTGTTCCTCTTACTTGCATCCTTCTGATATTTGGAAAGAAAGTCCAACTAAAAGGTTTGTTCAAAAATGTTTAGCCTGATGCTTATTTATTTCACTCTTTGTGTGAAAAGGACCATTTGTCGTCCAGTCTTCCCACTCAAAAATGTTCTGATTCATATAAAGGCAGCTCAATTCTTCCTCTTGCTTGCAGTTGTTTGCTCTCCTTTCATCTCACTTAATTGAGGTTACCATTTTTAATCGCTTGTCAAAAAAATTGATTGTGGGGAACCTCTCATAACTCAATGGATTTGCTATTTAATATGGGTGGCAAAAACAAATAGTGTTGCTCAACTCAATTGCCTGTACTTAAACTGTTTATGTGGTTTGCTTCATAAATGGCAGATGGGTCTTTGATTTCCTGGGGCAAATAAGGGAAGAATAAACTGTCAAAAATAGCATTAATTATAATTTTATTCTGGTGACAAATGCTAGATTATCATAAAATTAGCATTTTCAATGGAATGGAAATGGAAATTTTGAAAGTTGAATCTTTCACTCCCCTAAAGTATCAAGTATTGTTTGTCTATGTTTCTGGTAGTAAATTGATGCTAAATAAAAATTAAATAAAGATTTTACACTGTAAAATGAAAGTAGTACAATGAACATTTTCTCATTTATGATTATTTGACATAAAAGCTCTTCACGTTGCCATTTAAAAAATGAATGGAGAGAGTAATTTCTTTTTGTCTATTTTTAGTCCTTCAGTAAAAGGAAATGTCTGCTGATATTAGAAGGATCAGGTCTTTTGGCACCAAGACAAATACATTTGAAGTAGCCATCTGTCAGCATCAGGATTTCTGAAAGGGGCAGAAAGAAAGTAGTTCCCTGCTCTCTGTTGTTTTTATTCCCCCATTTGTGTTGGCTATGTGTGTCTCACAGCTCAAGTGAAATGACAATTATCCCTGCAGAGCCTCGAGTGATCAATCACTTCTTAAAATTCTGGTGCTCTTGGATCTGCACAATATCAGTGTGCCAATCTCGCCAAATGGACCTAATGGCAGAGTACATTCTCTCCTGGCTTCAGTTGCTTTCAGCGTACTTACAGAATAACTGAGTTGAAATGTTTTAAAAGCACTGTTTGTTAGACTGAGTCTCTCTCTTGAAGGGCAAAGCACTTACAAAGAGACATGGAAAAGATCATTGGCAACTATAACCTTTTTGGTTAATAAATCTCTGCATTTATGTGAATGGTGTCAATGTAATAATGTGATGAAAGAAGTGCTATTATTGCACTAAACAAATATATGTTTATATTTTATAGAATATTTCAATAAATAAAATTATAGGGGGAGATCGGGTGTGTTTGTAACATGAGAAGAGTTGTAACACCACCAATTCCACCAATCAGGGATAAGCTGGAGTCCTATGATCATTTCAGTTTTTGCTCACTTCCAAGTTAAATAAATGGTTGTCAAGGCAGGAAATAAGCACATGCAGATTTTATAAAGAAAAAACTGAGGAAAGAATGTAAATCTATCTATCTATCTATCTATCTATCTATCTATCTATCTATCTATCTATCTATCTATCTATCTATCTATCTATCTATCTATCTATCTATCTATCTATCTTTTATAAATAAAAAACTGATTAAAGAATGTAAATCTATCTATCTATCTATCTAATCAAACGGCATCGTTTTGTAAAAAAAAAAAAAAAAAAAAAAGTAATATGATATGAAAAATAGGAATATGATGAATAGAACAGAACAAACTGGTCTGAATCTGTCCATGGTCCTGGTACGCATCCCATACACATGGCAGATTCCCTACTGTCTGTCCAGTTCTGGATAGTGGCCCTGCAAAAGGCATGAGATCACTTGGCTTTGGGAGGAGATGCAATGCTTCCATTGTTCTGGTCCAGAAGCAATAAAACTCTCTCATGCTGTCCCGTTTGCAAAAGCCCACTGCTGTTGCTTTACAGCTAACATGATTTCATCCATGACTGCTGTGAATCAGTAGGTCTCCTGGACCATTCTGGCTTTGATCTTTAACTCTGTCAATCAAAATTAGTTATCCTTCAATACCGACTCCTCCTCACTCCATACAGTCCTGTCTAAGAACAAGCACAGCTTTGTCTATATGTCTATGTCTTCATGAAAACAGCCACATGCTGAGTTTGAGTTGCTTCACACGAGTGCCACATGTCACCTTTGAGCCGCCTGTTCCTTTGCTGCTTTACGAGCTGCATTTCTATCAAATAATTAAGCTGTTATCTGAAGACAAGCAGTTATCTAGTCTTTATATGAGGTGTAAAATGGAAATGGGACATGAAAATAAAGCCCATCCACATGATTTTTTCAGAACCTCCATCACAACTGACAACATAAATTGCATTGTCAGTTCATTCAACGGCCATATTTGTAACTCCCGTTGCCAGCTATTCCAGAATTAAAAAAACCCCAAATGTCCTATGAGAGCAAAAACAATATCCGACAACATTATTTGTTGTTTAGCTCAAATCAAACTCACTCTATATTGGTTTAGTCTTTCCCTCTTCTTTAAAGCAGTAGTTCACTTTTTAAAAAAAACTTTTGCTGATAATTTACTCACCCCCATTTTATCCAAGATGTCCACGTCTTTCTTTCTTCAGACGAAAAAAAATTAAGGTTTTTGATGAAAACATTCCAGGATTTTATCCATATGATAGACTTTATTGGGTACCAAACGGTTCAAGGTTCAAATGACAGTTTTATTGCAGCTTCAAAGGGCTTTAAACAACACCAAATGATAAATAAGGGTCTTATCAAGCGAAATGATCAGTTATTTCAAAAACGACTCGAAAAAAGATTCGTTCATTTTGACAAACGAGTTCGAACAGGTGAGTCACGAATGCGCATCACAGAACAGAGCAAGGCGAGCAATTGTGCTTATAAAACTTGAAATGACTGATCGTTTCGCTAGATAAGACAATTATTCATTGTCTGGTATCGTTTAAAGCCCTTTGAAGCTGCACTGAAACTGTCATTTGGACCATGAACCGTTTGGTTCCCAATAAAGTCCATTATATGGGGAAAATCC